GTGTAATTAATCAAAATTAACAACAAGCCCAGAGAAAAATGATAATGTGTTTGTAATTGACTGTGAAGTGGTGTGGCAGCTATTTAGAGTGGTGCAGGAGAGCTGGGGTGGGGGTGAGGAGGTGGGGGTTGGGGTTGGGGTGGGGTGAAGGGGGTGATAGCTATGGGAGATTTCTCAGGGAGAGTATCCACGGATTCTGTGACAGAACTATCAGTATGGTTGGGGTTTGGGTTATCCCCATAAAAACTTACATTGGACTTCAGTTCCTCCGTGCAGCAAGGTTGGGGAATGGGACCTTGAGAAGGGATTATTATCTTTCTTGGGGGACTGGTTTCAGTCTCCTGAGAGCAGGTTGTAAAACGGGTCAGCTTCTCCATCACCCTCAGACCCCTGCACAGGTCTGCTCTTCACTGTCACCCACGCTTTCTCCATGTGGTACCACCCTCCATGTTACAATGCAGGAGAGATTCGTGTTGGGGAGGGTCTGGAACGTCTCAGGTCTTTAGAACTATGAGCTAAAAAAATGTTTCATGATCAATTCTTTAGTTATAGCTATTCTGTTCTAGCACCACAGATAGACTAAGACAACTATCTTTCAGGGAAATGAATGAACATAATCATTGTTTGGGTTATGGAAGAAGATGAATGTATGTACTCCTCTTAGTGATTGTGAAACCAACACTCTTGAGAACATCACGACCAGAAGGGATTCTTTTATTTATTTTGACTGTCATATCTATATCTGTTTGTCTTAACCTGTTTCTATAAAAAGGTTTGAAGCTCATAGCACCATTAATTCCATAAAGCTAATAAACTTCCTAACACGTGAGTCTTGTGATACCAATCCCTCGTTAAATACATAAAAATCTAGGGTGTCACAGCCTGGCATATGAAAAACTACACAGCCCTGCACACTGTGTCCTTTTAGGCTCTTGTATTAACCACAACTATTTACACCCAGACTCTGGCCACAAATCTTTTTATCCTGAATCTCTTTGGTCCACAGTACCTACCCTTTCCACCTAGAACAAACTTCTATCTGTTCAACAATTAGCTCAAGCTTTAGCCTCCTAATTCTATGCTTGCATTGGGCATCCAAGAAAGAATTCATTTGTTATGCCGTTCCTTATGTCCTAGGGGCACTCACAAAACCTTGATATCCTAGATCTTGTCCCCACCCACCAGATTGGATTTACCTTTTTTTGTTCTCTTTGCCCCACCCACCACTCATGGCTTTCTCTCTTCCAGCTACCAGAGATAGCTAACTAATGGGAGACACCATTAAGAAATCAGGAAGCAGGAGGAAGCTGGAAGTATTTCCTAGCTTCCTCTCTATCTGATTGCTTTGGAGTTAGGATGGGTTATCTGGGTCTGTCTACCAAAATCCATAGTTCTTCTCTTTGAGGCAACTCTGTACTTACAACTACTCTTTTTCCCTTTCTTTTTGTACTTCTTGAGGCCACTAGTATTGTAGTAGTTCTCATATATAATTAGCCATGTGGTATCATACTGCCCTTTTTTATTTCCTGACACACTGGACACACCTTTAGAAATAGCCTATAATTTGTTTTCCAAATTACCAAATTGGAGTGGGTCACCCCTAGTGTGAGAGTAGATAATAAACTTGATGTGGCATTTATAAATCAGACATTTGGTATCTTTCTTACAAGATGTCACTTGAACTGCTTCTTTGAACTGTTAGACCAAGGCTGGTAACAATTCCAGAGACCATTCCCAAGTCCCCCTGTCACTGTGTCTCAGATGTAAAGTTTGGATGCCATGTCTATTAACTGAGTCCACAGGGACAAATCAATTTGGACCAAGAAAGCTCTCACATTAGGACTGTAATAGCTTGATATCCTCACCCTCATTTACAGAGGATGAAACATTTCAATAGAAATTGGAGGCAAATGTTGAAAACCAATCCTGATTGTCCAATCCAATCAATGGTGAGTGTTTGGATTGTCTATGGCAAGTAAAATTACAAAGTAGATGCCCAATAAATGCTTGTAAAATGGAATTCAATTGGATGATTGCTCATGCTACAAGCTCTGGAGCATTGACCTGAAACCAGAATTGAATTCCTGTTTGCATCAGCCAGAGCTTCTAACTTAGAGCTGACATCATGATCTATGCAGTGGTTCTCAACCTGTGGGTCTCAACCCCTTTGGCAAACCTCTATCTCCAAAAAAATATTTATATTACAATTACTAACAGTAGCAAAATTAGTTATGAAGTAGCAATGAAAATAATTTTATGGTTGTGGAGTCACCACAACATGAGGAACTGTATTAAAGGCTCGTAGCATTAGAAAGGTTGAGAACCACTGAATCCATAGATTCTAAGGAGTGTTTGGAATGGGCAAGTCCACCACTCCAAAGTCCCCATTTCAAACACTTTTGGGTATTTGCCAAATGATAATAGCGACCACACAGAATCTTCCGGTAGGTGGAAAACGGCACAACTGAGCCTGGACTGTTGTACATTTAAAGGTTACTATCTGCAGAGAATCCCTCCGGCCTCCCTCTCTGGCAAATGCCCAGGTTTGCATAGACTGCTCTTTCTGAGCCCCTATGCAGGGTCTGGGTGGGGGACAGCTGCCACAGATTTTCAGGGCAGTTCTTGTGGATGAAAGCGAATTCCCTGACTTGTGTGCCAGAGGCTATGATCAGAACTCCTGGTCTGAAAGAGGGGCTCTGTTGAAAGAACAGTAGGCCTCCCTGTGTGGGGCTGGCCAGTGGGATTTTTTTTTCAGTCTGCACCTGGTGTTGGGCAGTGGGAGTTTATGAAAATCCACAGAGAGGAATGTTTCCGAGTTCAGCGACAGAAGGGGAAAACGTTGAATGGCAGATCTTTGGAGCCCTGAAAAGCGCAGGCTCAGTCTGTGGAATGGAGGACTCCGGTCTCTACTGAGGAGAGCCTTTCACAGGGGGTGTGGAGGTCTGGACTTTGTTCTGTATGAACGGCTGTCACCTCGCCAGTTAGCTTTTGAAAGGGGACCTAAAGCCATCGGAAGGCTGTGTGTTCCAAACCAAGGGTCCTTCCATTCTTTCCCTCCAGAGTCAGGCCCCTTCTTCCAGCCCACTCCATATTCCAAGTTTGTATTCACCGAACTCTCCCTTTCCTAAGTTGAAGCTCTTTGGTACTTTCTAAACCCACTTCTAGAGCTTTATTATAAAACATGCATTTTCTATCATCTCAAAAAATGTGTCTCTTCATAGCATAAAGTAAAAAAAGTCAGCTAATTACAAATTACACATATCATATGGCACTAAAGAGAATGAGGTAGAAACCTAAAGTCACCCTCAATTTTACTTCAAAATGACCCCCATCAGAGATCGGAGGACATTCTTTCAGATCTTTATTTTCCATGTATGTATCTAATTTCAAGGCAAGCATATCAGTACCATAGTAAGCAAATACTGAAACGATGTTCTCCGGGGAATTGTTTGTATTTGTCAATATCCATCATGTTTCTCGCTGTGACAGAACATTTGAGAAAGCAACTTAAGGAAGAAAAGGTTTATCTTGGCTCACAGATGAGGACACAGTCCATCATGGCGGAGATATCCTGGCGGCGAGAGCACACCGCATTCACAGTCATGGAGCAGGGGGGGGTTGAAAGCTGTGCTTAGATAGCCCCCTCCTTTTTATTCAGTCCCAGGTCTCAGCCCAGGAATTGCTGCTGCCCACAGTTAAGGTTGGTTTTCCCACCTTAGTTAATCCCATCTGAAAATCTCCTTACAGATATGCCCAGAGGTTTGCCTGTTAGGGGAGTCTAGAGTCTGCCAAGTTGACAATCCCAGAGATAGCCATCCCACTGCCCAAAGAAGTAAACTTCTTTTCTGATGATGGAAATGGCCTCATTGATGGCACACTGCCAGGCTGTGGTTTTGGTTCTTTGTTTCCTCGTTTTAGTGAGATGGCCTTGAACTAGTGGTCTTCCTGCATTTACCTCCTGAGTGCTAGCAGATGTCACCACAGGCAACCAGCCCATCAGGAGACCTGCGGATGGCTTGTTCTAACTATTAAACAGGACTGATCTAAGGGAGCTCTGGAGGAAGGAATCAGTGTGGGTTAGACAGAGTGATTGAAATTATGATTTTTATTCTAGAATGGAGTTCCACACTAATGATAAAAAAGATGGTACTGTGATCCCAGATGATGTGGGAAAACTTCATTTAGATTCATTTAAATGCCCTGTAATGTTTTACCAAGAGACTTAGTTTGGTCCTGGACCTCCCAGGGTCTCCTTGGGTGAAGATTCTGCTCCGTTACTCAGAGTTCCCATTTTTAACAACAAAATCATGTATTTCCCAGGAGACTTGTCCCAGCCCCAGCCTTGTGCTTCTGGGATTCTACTTATCTGTGCTTGAGCTCATCAGGGGGCTGGGGCAGGTTGCAGTTTATGATAACCTGTGAAGTGGATGGACTCAAGGACTTTGAAAAGACACACTGGACATTCCAGTGGCTTAACAAGGACTTGAAGGCTTTGGACATAGAGATAATAATCAGGAAATAAATCAAACTCTTAGATATCTCCAAAACAGTTTGTACCAGGTATTTTTTATGTGTTTCATATCATTTCATATGTTTCCACATTGACTTCATGAGTTCAGTATATTATCTCCAGTCTAGAGATATGTAAACAGAGGCTCTAAAAGGTCAAATTATTTATCTGAAGTCATTGAAAAGTTGATTTAAGGCACCGGTTCTCAACCTGTGGGTTGTAATCCCTTTGGGAGTGGAATGCCCCCTTCACAGGGGTCACATATCAGATATCCACATTACAATTCATAACAGTAGCAAGATTACAGTTATGAAGTAGCAATGAAAATAATTTTATGGTTGGGGGGTCATCACAACTCAAGAAACTGTATTAAAGAGTCACAGCACCAGGAAGGGTTGAGAATCACTGACTTAAGGGGCCTAGATCTAAAACAAGGCTGTTCCACTTGGCATCCTCAAGCATTGACTATCACTGCTTTTCCTTGGTGCAGTTGGGGCATTTCTTACCAATCCAATCCTCTGGTGGCTGGCAAAGGATCTTATCCCTGGTTGCACATTGGACATGCTGAGATCCCAGCTGAGTAGAGGTTGAGGTCAGTACTGATGGTTTCCTTGTATTCTTTCCATAAATCCTTCCTTTCTGCTTTGAGTGACCTTGCAACATTTTGCCAAACAAGTTCATTTCAGCAAAGAGCTCTCTAATCTTCTCACTTGCACTCAGAGGAGATTTCATACAAGGTTGGCCCAGATTTCAGCATAGTGTAAGCCTCGTAGAAAAAGTGTGATTAGTCTGTGCAGCTACATCTTCCTACCCAGTTAATTTGTAGAGTCCTTAAGGGCAGAAACACATCCTCTGCAGCTCCTCTCTTTCAAATACCCTGCATTGTGCTGCATGTGCAGGTACAGAAGAAATTAGGGCTGAGTTAGCTGCCAACGGCTCCGGGATTTGGATCCTATGAGGGAAATGTGCGAAGAAAAATAAGAGCAAAGGGGGAAAATAAGTCAGACCCTGTCTGTCCTGTTGTAATCATGGTTTAACACACCTGTGTATTAAGAGCCATTTATGGAACCTTTTCCATGTGACATTCTGGTTCAGATCGGTGCAGGTGCCAGCGATGAGTTCCTGCTCTCATGTTTCTTATGATACAGTGAGGAAGATGTAGAGACATCCTATAAATAAACACCAAAGGAAAGAGAAGAAATTCATGTGGAAGGGAGGGGCTGGAAGAAGGATATTTTAGGGACTTTGGGGAAAGCTCTCCTGAGGCCGGAGACTTTTGACACTGAAACTGATGTCTCAGACATGGGAATTCTAGGGATTGCTCCCTGAAGGCGCGTTAGAAGTAGGCTTTCTGTTGGTCTATGTGAGATGTTTACACCGCCATGTTTATTGCAGCACTCTTCATGATAGGCAAAATATGGAAGCAGCCTCAATGGCCAACAACAAATAAATGGATAAAGAAAATGTAGGCATATTGGATTTTTATTCAGCTGCCAAAAATGGGGTTATGTTGTTGGAAGAAAAATTGATAGAACCAGGAAGCCAAACTCAGAAAGGACAAGCATCATTCCTTGTCTTGTCTGTAGAATCTAGGTTTACATACATACATGTGATGAAAATAGAAAAAAATATATGTGACATCAAAGGAAAGAAGACCAAAGGAAGGCAGGACGGGGTTGAATAGTAGGCATGAATATGAACTTAATGTAATGATAAATATGTATTAAATGTCATATGAAGCTCATTATTTCATGCTAATAAAAGATATATCTTGAAAGAGAAAGAAAAACAAACTGGATTGGCTTATGTAGTAGAGGAGCAGAGAGAGGGTTGGGGGGTCCAAGGTACTGAGCAGAGAGGCCAGTGAGGAGGCCAGCAGCAAAGACTGCACCTGACTCTGAAGGCTTGAGAAGTCACAGTGTGAAGGGTGATTTTCACTGGGAGCATGCAACTTTGGAAACTTCATGCAGCCTAATTCAGGCCCCATTCAGTAGATGGTGCAAATGCAACTGTCTGTGGACGTCTCTGGCCACAGCACACATTTGGAGAGAGGCCTGAAGGAAGCTCCAATAGTGAGCTCTTGTTAACTTGAGTTCTTGGCAAAATCATCTCCTTTATTCTACTACTTGTGGCTCTCAGTTGCAGGCCACCCTCAATTCCCAGAGGTTTTCCTCATTATCTTGCAACATAGGCCATTGGGCTAGCAATATGAAGGCTTTAACACAATACATCTCAGGAGTGATTATGATATTTTACTATATTCTGTTGAGTTAGAAAAAAATAATGGACCCCATCATTGTCAAGAGAAGAGGGCTACTCCAAGCTGTGAACTTCAGGTGTCAGAAATCACAGGGTCATCCTAGAGTCATCAATCACACTTGATTTTATTAAAAAAAGGAATGGTACTGGTTTAGGAAATCATAGCCCACTAATACATAATTGCTGATAAAGAGATGCCTCAAACACTTTTCTCTTTCATAAACCCAAACTTTGTTCCTCACAGTCATCTTTTGGGGAGAATTAGGGAACACATCTTTTAAATATTAGTTTAAATGTAGTTTTCTTAAGCCTAGGACCAGATAGTTTTACTACAAAATTCTACCAGACTTTTAAAGAAGAGTTAATACCAATACTCATCAAATTATTCCACAAAATATTAACAGAAGGAAAATTGCCAAATTCATTTCATGAGGCCACAGTTACCCTGACACCCAAACCATATAAAGACCCATCAAAGTAAGAGAATTACAGTCTTAATTTCCCTTATGAACATAGATGCCAATTTACTCAACAAACACTTGCAAACCAAATCTAAGAACATATCAAAGAGATCATCCACCATGATCAAGTAGGCTTCCTTCATCCCAGAGATGCATGGATGTTTCAACATATGAAAATCAGTTAATGTAATCCACCATTTAAACAAACTGAAATAAAAATTTATCATCTTAGATGCAGAAAAAGTCTTTGACAAAATCCAATACTCCTACATGATAAAAGTTCCAGAGAGATTAGAGATACAAGGAGCATACCTGAATATAATAAAGACAATTTACAGCAAACCCATAGCCAACATCAAATCAAATGGAGAGAAACTCAAAGCAATTCCACTAAAATCAGGAACAAGACAAGGTTGTCCACTTTCTCCATAGCTATTCAATATAGTACTTGAAATCTTAGCTAGGGCAATAAGACAACTGAAGCAGATCAAGGGGATACATATTAGAAAGGAAGAAGTCAAAGTATCATTATTTGCAAATGATATGATAGTATACATAAGTGACAATAAAAAAATTCCACCAGGATTTTTTTTAAACCAACTCTTCTTTTTTAATTTTTGTTTAACAACTCCTACAGCTGATAAACACTTTCAGAGAATTGGTTAAATAAAAGATTAGCTCAACAACAACAACAACAATAACAACAACAAATTAGTAGTCTTCCTATACATAAATGATAAACATAATGAATAAGAAATCAAGGAAGCAACACCTTTCACAATAACTACAAATAATATAAAATACCTTGGCATAACTCTAACCAAGCAAGTGAAAGACTTGTATAATAAAAACTTCAAGTCTTTGAAGAAAGAAATTGAAGGAAATATCAGAAAATGGAAAGATCTCCCATGCTCATAGATCAATATGATTAACATAGTAAAAAATGGCTACCATACCAAAGGCAATTTATAGATTCAACTCAATCTCCATCAGAACACATTTCTTCACGAATCTTTTTCTTTTCTTTATTCTGGTGTGATCAGACACCTGACAGCCTCGGTATTGAACCTGGGTCCTCTGGAATATCAGCCAGTGCTCTTAACCACTGAGCCATCTCTCTTTCCCTCTTCACAGATCTTAAAACAACTAGTCTCAACTTCATATGGTAAAACAAACTATGAGATCCCATTGTATACCTGTCAGAATGTCTGAGATCAGTAACACAGCTCATGCTGGTGAGGATGTGGAGCAAGGGGAAGATTCCTCCATTGCTGGTAGGAGTGCAAACTTGTACAGTCTCTATGGAAATTGGTATGGTGATTTCTCAAAAAATTGGGAATCGCTCTATCTCAAGACTCAGTTTTACCACTCTTGGGCATATACCCAAAGGATGCTCCATCCTACCACAAGGATTTTTGCTCATCCAAATTCATTTTGGCTTTATTCACAGTAGCCAGAAACTGGATAGATGCCCCTCAACATAAGGATAGATAAAGAAAATGTGGTACATTTACACAATGGAGTAGTCTTCAGCTGTTAAAATAAAAAATGACATCATGAAATTTTCAGGCAAATGGATAGAATTAGAAAAATCCATCCTGAGTGAGGTAATCCAGACCCAGAAAGAGAAATACTATATGCATTCACTTATAAGTAGATATTAGTCATTAAGTAAATGATAGCCAAGCTACAATCTGTATACTGAGAGAGGTTAGATAAAGAGCAGGGGCCTAGTGAGGATGCAGGGATTTTACTCAGAGCGAAAAATGGAATAGGTTTTTACATACAGACTGGGGCAGACAGGGACTGGAGGGGGAACCAGGTGGTGAGGTAATGGGGCAGAGGGAGTAAGTGTGGGGAGAGACAGCAATTGGTGGGGGGGGGATTGGGGGTTGATGTGGAAATCTAGTGCAGTAGAAACTTCCTGGAATCTATGAAGATAATCCTAATAAAGACTCCTAGTAATGGGGAATACAGAGTCTTAATTGGCCATTTCTTATAGCAAGGCAAGGCTTTCAATGGTGGGACTAGGTTGCATTCAGTTGAGTTGTTGGCCAAGGGGGGCCCATGGAAATCCCCAAACAACCCAGGCTGTTGCTAAGACAAAAGGTTGCTCTCATCAAACTGACAGTGGGGCCCCACTGCTGAGGACAATGCCCACACAATTCATTGAACATAGAGAAGTCAAGCTGGTGCCTACGTGGAGCCCTCACCCCTCTGTCCTAGTCTCTTTGGTTCAGGAAGGTACTCTGCAGGCTACTGAAAGTGAAACATGGACACCAATCCAGCCATAAAACCTTTCACCTGCTATCTGCCCTGCCTGCAAAATATGCTAGGGCAATGGTGGCACAGAATTTGTGCCACCAAAAACAGCCAATCAAAGTCTGATTTGACCCACTACGTGGGTAGGAACCCACACCTAATGCTGCTTGGGTAACCAAGAACCAGATTAAATGGCCCAGAGACCTAGATTAAAACCAAACACTGCTGATCAAAAAAAAAAAATAAATAAAATGATTCCTAATAATATTCTGCTATACTCATAGATAAGTGCCTTATCCAGTCATCATTAGAGAGGCTTCCTCCAGCAGCAGATGGGAACAGATGCAGAGACCCACAGCCAGATATTATGTGGAGAGAGAGAGAGAGAAAGAGAGACAGAGAGAGAGAGAGAGAGAGAGAGAGAGAGAGAGAGAGTGAGTCTAAATTGGAGGTCTCTATCAAATCCCTCCCCTCAGCTCAGGGAATCCTGTGGAAGAGGAGGCAGAAAGATTATAGGAGAGGATAAAGGATATCAGGAGAATAAGGCCTTCTGAAATAGCTAAGTAAGGAATGAGCTCACAGAGACTGCAGCAGCAAGCATGGGGTCTAC